CAATTCATTCTAAGCTTAAGCAAAACACAGATTTCATATATATTGTTTAGCTTTTACGTTTCATTAGTTGTCATACAAAAGAAGACCAGAGGACCAACTGTTATGGAAGAAGTGCATAGTAGGAACTTTGAAGATCGTCCAACTATTATTTTGAATGAAGGAGGCCAACCAATTGGACCTACTCCTGAGCTTGTTCGTGAGTTTAGTCGCTTTTTGGGTACAATTGCCAGAGATTCACAACTTGCACCTTTAAATTATGTCACTTGGCATAAGGTGCCACCAAAAAAATTGGACCACATGTGGGACTACATCTTGGTATGTTACTTAACAATTCTATACTCTTCTATGTTTTACTTTACAAGCTAACACGTTGTACTGCATATTTAAATATAAAACTCTTGAAGGAGAAGTACATGGTTCCAACAGAAGGACAAAAATGGGTGATGTTCACTATTAATGATTTATGGCGTGTTCATAAATCAAGGGTGAAGGATAAACACTATTATAAATATGCAACATATGCAAAAAGATGGGACAAGCGTTCGAAAACTATCTCTGAGCAACAATTTAGAGATCTATTAAACTATTGGGACCTTGAAGAGGTTGAGGTACTGAATTTATATTATTTAGATTTATACTGATTTTTCTGTTAAAAATAGGATTACCCATTTATTGATATGTACCATACCATACTCCAATGCCAAAGAAAGTACATCCTCCTGATCTTAAGTCTTCAACCAATAAATTAGCTAGATAACATATTTAATTAGGGAATAATCATCGTGAGCAATACATATTACTTGCAGTTTTGTTTATTAATATACAGGAGGAAAGCAACACCAATAGAAGAAATCGTATGCAACATGATGACCCCCACACAATGGGCCCTACATCATTTGCATTACTGCGTCATAAGCTGGTATTAGTGCTTTGGTTTGATCGTTTGTTTATTTCAGCTGCAAGTTACATATGAGTATAATTTTTCATTTAATCTTTATGTTTTCTCCTATATGGTTTTGTAGAAACAAGATGATCCCAATAATCAAGATCCACCTCAATCAAAGGTCTATAAGGAATCTAGGCAAAGAGTTCCGGGGAAGCGTTACCTGACAAAATTTGACAAACCTCCAGAAAATATAGTAAGTTAATAATGTTTTTATATTGGCTAAATAAGAATATTATTTGAACTTGCTAATAATATTTTTTACATGTTAATTTCCCATTTAAAAAGGCAAAAATGAGTGAGTTACAATCACAACAAGAATATGGGGAAAAGAAAATACACAAGATCCATATTATAAAGTCATTGATAATTAATCCTGAACACAATGGACGCTTACGCCTTCATGGTAGAGGTATGAACAAATCTAAATTGAAGAAAAGCGATAAGCAGTCTTGCTACATATTTCCCGCAGAGTTTATGCAAAGTGTCAAAGCACATTTAGTACCAAATATCAAAGAAGTAACACAAGATGTGGCATCCATTGTACTGTCACAAATAAAGGCAGCGAATCCGGGAATTAATCTTGTCATTCCAGAACTTTGTATCACCTCAAAAGATAAATCATCGGACGAAGGGGATGGGTCAAATGGGCGACATTCTCGTGGAACTTATTCATTTCACAAGGTAATGTTACACTCTATTTTCTGCCTCTCAATGTTGAAGTTTAAATGAACATGATGTGAAAGCTAAAAAAACAAACTTGCCTAATGCCTTACTGAAATAAGGAGATCAACTCTTCAGGATTTTAAGTGTGAAAAGCATTATTGAATTAAATCCTTTATCTTCTTAGTGATTGAAGTTGCTTCTAGAAAATTAACAAAGTAGAGTCTTATTACATATGTACTTAAGTAAAAAAATTAAATTAGTGATAAACACACGTTTAATTCATAGCATTTAATAAGTAGAGGTAGTACACGTAAGAGTCCATAGTTTAGTTTATACGGAGTACCAGTAGCATTTAATGAATTAATTAATGTTTCATAGGGTAGAAAATTACTACTACATTTGTGTTAATCAATATAAGAGTGACACATTAGCTTTATATAACTCATCATTACTATATAAAACTATAGATCATATTGGTTCTCTTAGAGCATATCCAATGCTAAAACGTGAACGGTGCATACGTGGCATGAGAGATAGCCAATTAAAAAATAATAAATAGAATATCTCTCTCCTTATTTGAAGGATCTTGTATCATTTTGGTAAGTTTTTCTTCACAATGTCAAGCACAATGTCTAGATGTAGACATTGTGCTTGACATTGCAGATGAAAACTTACCAAAAATACATAAAACCGTAGAAAGAATTAGAGAGAAATGTATAAATTCAATATTTTGTGTCTATCTCTCTCATGCAACATGTGCACCGTGCACATTGTAGTATTGAAGATGCTGTTAAATCCAATTTTAAAGTTAATAACTCAAGATTGAGTAGTCAAATTAATGGTTTTGTATTGCAATGAATTTCTGCTTTCTATCATTCTTAAAGGGAGTGGGTTTTACATGGGCTTGGCTCAGATTTCATATTATGTTAGAAAGATCCTCTTCATAAAGTCACCTTAACATAAAGCAATGGGTTAGCAACAAAGTTACTGCTAAATCAAACTGAGAAGTAGGCGTACGAGTGAGAACTGGATTGGCTATTGGGGATGTTAACGATTTTGGTCTTGATTCTTGAAACATTCACCTTCCATGCATCCATATTATTTCAACTTTCCTAACTATTATTATTATTATGTGATATTCTGGTCTCTCGTTCCTCTTCGGGGTTAACTAGTAACATGTTGGATTTTATCTTGATAATAGAGTACCAAGATACTATTATATATCTCATTAGTCAAATAATCAAGAGTTAGATTTCATCTCAAAGAAAAAGCTAATTGAGCTATAAGCCTATAACTCATAAATTAGCAAAGAGTGACACATACACTCATACACGTTAAGATTCTAGCTAAGAGTGTAAGACTAATTTATCTCATCATAATCACCTTTTATATAGGAGTTGGAAGAAACCGTTGTAGCAATTTTACTGAAGGAGTGAAACTTAAGAATGTGGGGCAAGCTACCATAGTGTGTGACGAATGGAGAGCGCAAGATAGTTCTTCGCCGCAGAAATAAGTTGATTGGGATAGCACAATCTATGGATTATTTCTACATCTTAACTACTAATTCCCTAAGCAATGCGCGCAATCCCCTGCCTCAGAAAAAGGATGTACATAAGCAATCGCCACCATGTGATCAACAACATGAAAACCATTCCTCATATCAAATTTCTAAGCAAATGGTTCCTGGTCAACGTGAAGATACAAAGTTAGGATGTTTTTTCTTGGATTGAATTTTGTTGGACTGGTTTGATCTGTTTAAGTTTGGTCTGATCTGAACTGGTTTGGTAAAAGTATGGTCTCTATGGTTTGGTAAAAGTATTTTATAACTATGGAAGTCTGGTCTGGTTTTGTTTGATCTGTTTAAGTTTGATCTGGTTTGGTAAAGTCTGGTCTGATCTAATCTGTGACTGAAAACGGTCCTAAGTAAAAACATCCTTGATATGTGAATGCGGGAAGAAACGTTGCAGCAAATCTACTACAGGAGTGAAACTTAGGTGATGATCTATAAATAGGTCATGAGATAAAGACCTCACACAATTTTTAACAAAGTAGAGCAAACTGGGATAATAGAGGGATTTTATAAACTACTTTATGAACAGTGACCCTTCCATTCACTTCTTCTGAAACAAAAACAACCCCCAAAAATAGACTTTTCAGTTTCCAAATGAAAATTTACTTTTAAAGTTACATAAAACTTTTTTAGTAAAGTTATAGAGAATGTACCTTCAAGCTCAATGAAAGAGGAGGGATCAAAATATCAATCTACATTTAATGGAAGTACGATATATATAATACATACAATCCAATTCAGACTCAGCTGATTACAGCTGATTATTAATCATCAATATCTTTTCAACTATAAATAAAAAAGGAATCTATATTAAAAGATGTTAAAAGGGAAGTCACTTTAAAAATATATTTGTTCGAACTCCATTCGAAAAAGAAATGCTTTTACTAAAGTTGGGACAAAATTTTCTACATAGTTAAACTAATAGTAAAAATATATCATTAAAATTTGTAATAACATCCAAATATAGTCAAAGTTAAATAGGTTCATTGAGAAATAAGTTACATGGGTAAGAAAGACATTACTAAATATGAGTTATTATAAATAATACTGAACACTAATCCGCCATACTTTGTACATAAGCTTATAAAGACTTCAGTATTAACAATTGACAGTCAAATTTTTAAAATGTAGCAACGGTACATTTTTACCATGATAGAAATGTAGCAACGGTATAAACACCTCTATTCTCTCTTTTTAGTTTGTTAATTGTGGATCTCAACTTCGCCCGCCTTAAGTGGACAATTAAGCCATTTCGAATCTGACCAATTGCTCGCTTCCATTTTGGACAGACGGCTAGACAAACAAATTAGGCTAAACCCTGCTTTACCAAGATATAAATCATGATGACAGAGATTGTTTGAGCCAAATCACACTAAAACGTTGAATCCTTTCTGTTAGCTCCTTAGTTAGTTGTTCAACAAATGTCTTATCAACTCATCATTCTCGGTTTTTTATGTTGGACTCTAACACCTTTATGCACATAAGTTACGGAGTATTATTATGTCGTAATTAGTAAACTTATTGAAGGTACCTAAAGAAGAATTTGGCAAAATTTGTTGAACCTAAACGAAGGTCAGAGGATGAGGACAAAGACTTCTACGAATTGAAAATTAGAAAAATGTTTGTGTTTGACGTGGTGGAGGTGAACACTACTTAGGGTTGGTTTGCAACTCCTTTTTTTTTTAAACAAGGACTCATGGAGGCTTATATTGATAATAAAACATTCTGCAAAGGACACAAACGATAAGGGAAACACTTCCAGCCACCGACCCTCGAACCAGCTGGAGAATCAATCACCCTAGGCAGAGCAATAAGATTCGCTGATCCTGTAGTGGGTCTAAATGAGCCTAACGTGGCCAGAGCAAACCTCTCATCACCCCCACCTAATGTAATAGTCTGACAAAAATAAGCGTACATGACAAACAAAACAACATGTGGTTTGAAGTAAAAACACAAATAGAGTAAAACAGAAATAGAACTAGTCGTCCAAACCCTAGTCGCACACTTCCTCCATGGCGGCGGCTCGGGAGGGGGACGGATCAACACCTCTTCATCTTCCTTCGCCCGTAGACTCCTGTTCGGAGCCTCTTCCTTGCCAGCAATCACCTCGTCCTGAATCAGATAGCCCTCATCACCTCTGAGCATCATGTTGTCACAAAACCGAGCCAATGTCTTGCAGCGTTCGATCAAACCTGCAGCGCACCTAAGCATCATGCAATACTCGAAGCAGAGTATTCACACCGACCAAAATCCGTTAGAGTTGCAGGTGGCACACTCGACGAATCAGCAACCCACGCTACCCTCTCGATACCCCCGAACCGAAGCAGAGGACTCCACCTGCGAATTGAAAAAAGAAAAACTGAAAAACACCAAAAACTGAAACAAGCAGAATCCGCGGAGGCAGAATCCTTTATGCCGGAGAGAAGACGTCGAAGAAAGACGCAAAACTGCGCACAACCAACCCTAATTGCTAGGGAGACGACCGCTCATATCCACAAAAATGTTTTAAATGTTTGCAACTGCTTTTAAAAAAGCACTTCTCAGCTTTTGGTTTTAAAAAAGCACTTATTTTCCCAAACACTGCAACTTTTATTTTTCTCGGCTTCCGCGTCAAAAGTGCTTTTACTTTTTCTATCACACAAAAAGCACATATTTTACCAAACACTACCCACTTTTACTTTTCAAAATCACTTTTTTCTCAAACACTATCAACTTTTATTTAATCACTTCTTCTCATTTCATTAAAAAAACACTTTTTTAAAAGCAGAAGCTGTTGCAAACCGACCCTTAAGGTATTGTACCATGCTAAGGCCATTTGTAGTGCTAGGTATTAGGAGTATAAATGCTAAATTTAGAGGTTTTAGACTCCTAATTTTGTGTGGTGGTAGATTAAATATTGAATTAAAAGTGAAAAGGGTAATGAAGAGGCAGGCTTCTGGATGGTGTGGATGACGTCGTGCTGGCGTCATCTCTGCGTCATAAAACCCCATTTTTTAAAACTCATAACTTTTTTTATTTATTCTTCGATTTTTTCAAGAAATATCAAAATTTATAAATTTTATGATGTTTTATATGAAACCAATTTTACATATATAAAGTGTAAAAACAATCTAAAGTAATAACTAATAACCATTGGAGTTCTCTTGGCCCCAAAAAACATGAAACACAAATTGTTAATCTATGAAGCCTCTATAAATAAATGAACATTGCATGAAATTATTTTATTTTTTATTAAAACTGGAAGTAAAAACACAAGTAACGGACTTCTTATTTTCTAACAAAATGTGTATTTTTTTTATTTCATAATTATTCAATAAAAGAACAAAAACAATAAAATTCCTTATAATAATTTAATTAATATTTTAATAAACTTGTATGTAAAAAATATGTTATATGTACTTTATTGACATTACTGTAATGCAGGAAAAATGGTATTGACGGAGTTTAAACACTGTTTTCATATCGCCAAAATTCATATTTAAGTTTCTAGATGGTGTAGGCATGCAAATGATCTAATAGGGTGTGGGAGATGGATGAACCGTATAGGAGGAAAGAGAAAATAAAAAGAAATGAAAAAAGAAAAAAAAAACTGGGAAAAGAAAAAATCACAATGACTCGCTAAAAGGGGTCTTCTTCCAGTGAATGGGTTAATGTGATTCTTTTTTTTGTAGTAGACATGTCTATCTGGTGCCTTTTAAAGTACATGGGTCTAGGTGATGAAATAACAATTATACAAGGGCCTATTTCACCCCTTTTCCAAGTTTAAATAGACATTATTTGGCATTATAGTTTGGCTAAATTAACATATGAAATATTATTTTAGAGTAGCCTTTGTATCAAGCCGGCCTAACGGTAATTGCATCAAACCATCTTCATTTTTTAAGAAGTTTATGATCCATTTTTTTGTTAATTAGTATCATTAACTGCTAGATTTTATCTTCATTAAACCTCATTTTTTACGTCTAACACTAACCCAACACTTAATACTTCCTCCGTTCTTAAATAAATGCAATAGTCAACATTTCACATTTTGCCGAAGTACAACTTTGACCATTAATATATATATATAGTTCTCTATTAGTAAAAAATTAAAAAAAATGGATTTTGAAAATTTACAATGAGACAAATTTAAGTATTTAACAATATTTTTTAAAAAAATATATTAATACATTAATAAATAAAACATAGTCAAAGTAGAATATGTGAATAGTGTAAAACTCAACATGTTGCATTTATTTAAGAACGGGGGTAGTATTAATTTACCATAAAACCATATTTTACCTCGAAATTTTTTTAATATTTTTGATTATCTAACGATGGGAACTTACAATTTATACTAATGAACAAAAAAATTGGAACATAAACTTTATTTTTGGTTAGGTCTAGGGATCTACAATTGAGTAAAGATTACATTATTAAAAGCGGTCATAGTAATGAATCACGGAACTAAGTTAAGACCGTGCCAGGGCCGATCCTAATAGTTTCTTGGTCTGAGTCAAACTATGTAAATAGGCCCTTGAAGACCAGAAAAAAATAAAATAAAATTTAAACACTTTATTATACACAGTAATAAAATCAATATTATTATAATCAAATAAATATTAATAATGGTGTCTAGAAGAATCATAAGCACTACTAAAAAACTTATCAGTTACATGTAAGGATAATAGACCGTTTATTTGTATGGTCCAAAATAAATAAATACGGAGTAATTAGTAGCAACTCCCTAAATTTCAGTTAGCAACGATTTAAAAAGAATAAAATTTTTAGATTTCTAAAATGTGATGTGGCGCACTACAATCTAGATTGGCATTTAAAATCAAAACAATAAATGAAAATACTACCATATGTCACTTTTAGACTACATTGCAAGGAATTATGTTCTCGAAAAAAAAGTTTGGATGAATTGTAGTATTGTACTCCTTAACATCATCTAGAGTCTAGACTCCTAGTCTTCAAAACTTTAAGTTGGAAAGTTTCAGATAGTCTCACACGAGCCGATAACGAAGAGACCAAAATCGGCCGAGACATATATAAAGGTCTAATATATTATGGGCCCTCATTTTTTTCCAATTTTGTGGGCCTGAGGCAATGGCCTCTTGGCCTCATATATAGGTTCGGCCCTGGACCGCGCGTGCATGGATGTAAGTAATAATACATTAAAGCTCAAGGGGGATTAGTGATATTTCCCATGCCAAAATCGATAATGAATATTGAGAATATTAAGAATTAGTGATGAACACCTCTTCTCATTCATATCACGTTCTGGTGGGTGATCCTTTTAGCCAAGTCAGATCTGGTTCAAACGGTTATTTTTGTGCCGATCTGGTTCTTCATCTTCAGATTCTTTGGATTCTTCAAGAGTTGGTATTATGTTGGCTGGCCAAATCTAGTTGGGGTCAGCTAATACGTTTAATTTCAAGTTCATTAACAGATTTCTCTTTGATTTCTATCGGTTCATGGGCTCATGGCTTAGTAACCAATTCCACCAAAGTCTGGTCAAGACATGTACTGATTTTTCTACCAAGAGAGTTCTTTTGTTTGAACTTGACGAGCATTTTGTCGTAGTACATCAAAATTCGATACTAACACTTATACGTAGTACAGTGAAGTAGATTTTGTATCCACAAGTAAAGGAATAACTTTCTTTTCAATTAACTAGTAATAAAAGGAATTTTTTGAGATTGTATGATTTAATTAATTAAAACAACAAGTTGAACGACTTATATGTGATTTAGTTCAAAGATAAAAAAGACTTGACCTTGCTACTTTCCACTTGTTGATATATTTAGCCGATCATTGTTATATGGGAAAGTTCCCGAAATAGGACTAAAACAGTTTGAAAATTCCAAAATAGGACTGTCATGTTTTTTATTCCCAAAATAGGAGTAATTACTGTCAAGTTTGGAAAATACTGCCATGTTTGAAGTCTGGTACTGCAAAAACATGACAGTAATTAGGCTATGTTTGGAATGACAAGCCGAAAAGATCTTTTTTAGACTTTATAGTAATTGTTAGCTTTTTTGAGCTGAAAAGCTTGCAGACGGAAAAGATTGTAGTTGTTTAATGAAAGTCGTCTGTTTTAAATTGTCACATTTGGCAAAACTAGCTGTTGTAAGTAGCTGAAACTATAGAATTACAATTAAGGACATGATCAAATATTATTAATTTATGAGCTAATAGAATACACACACATAGCTAATTTCACGGCAAAAACCGGTATTTTTCGTGCTTTGAGTTGTTGATGTGCATTGCACAAAAACGTGGTAAAAAAGCAAAAAACATGTACACAAAGAAACTGGGAAAAACTGGAACATATAAAAACAACTAAAAGAACCATATGGTAATAACAAAACAGTTGACACACACAAAAAGAAAAATGAAACTAAAAGTAGCAAAATATTAGGTGATAACATCAATAAAACTTGGTAAAAACACGGCACAAAAAATAATTACAACAAAAATTGAGGAAAAAACAGAAGTGAAAAATAGACAAATACCCAAGGAAAACCAGAGAAATAAAGACAGAAAACTAGTAATATCAGCACTATAATGAATGAATAAAACACGGGCATTGATCAAATAAAAGTAATAATCAAAGAAGTGAAAAATTCAACAACATACGGCCATTGTATTGAAGTATTTAACCAAAGAAGCAGGAAAAAAATGAGGGAAAACAACTATTACCTTAAAATATCAGCACTATAATGAATGGATAGAACCTGGACATTGATCAAATAAAAACCCAAAAAGCTGGCAAGGTATTTGTTGATAATACTCAATACAAGAATAAAATCAAGAAATATATTTCAATTCCAAAAAACATACGGAGTAGATTAAAAAATTAAGTTCAAACCTAAAACCAATTTCGAGTACAATTTTTACCAAGCTTGAATATCACACAATTTTGGCTACAAATTGGTAAACAAAACTCAATAAAAATCAAGAAGCACATCTGCGAAAAACATAGATGGCTGGAAGCGATTAAGAAAGAGACCCAGAACAATGAAGAAAATTGGAACGTAGCTGCAGATGGCAGACTTTGGGATATTCACGGTGAAGCAAATTTTAAATCGGAGAAGATGAAGGGGTGGGGATACAAGGTTATACGAGGAAGCATAAAAAAACTGAAAAGATCTTCTGAACGGTACCCTCCCTAGCGTCTCGTAAAAGATACGGACTTCTCAAATAAGTTAACGGGCCAAACACACAACTAGAGTCTTTTAGAGACTTTTTAAATAATAGAGAAGCTAAAAGCTATAGACTTTTTTGTGCCAAACATACCCTTAGTCCTATTTTGGGAATAAAAACATGGCAGTGCTATTTTGGAATTTTCAAACATTTTTAGTCCTATTTCGGGTAATCATCCTTGTTATATCTATAACTTATCCCCTCTCGAATACTCAATCGAGGAGTATCTCCAATTCATCAAGGGTAGTTATTAACAACGACCGTTCATTAATAGCTCTTACTATTAACCAAGTATAGAACACCGTCATATACCGACTTGATAGTAGCATTAAATCTCTCAACTCCTTGATGAAATCAATTGAGATTGATAACATCAACACAACGATTTCGGTTTAACCAATACAATTAATCCCTCTTAAGGTTATTAACCACGACCGTGCATTAATAACCCGAAGTTACTTGTGAAACCATCAATGATTAACCATCGGTTCATTGATCGTTTCTAGTAGTAATTAATGTCGAGATGTTAACTAATTGTCAACTTAGCAATACTCCCCAACATTAATATATAGATAGATTAAGGGAAGAATTAATATTCAAGGGAAGAAAATAAGAAAAAAACTCACAACTTTAATAATCAACAAGCTTCAAGAGCAACACCAAGAAATGGATATTTAGCTCCTCATTTGGAGATTAAACATGCTAGAAAAATATAAAAGAAATACTACGTACTATTCTAAGTTGAGCTTAAATATATGGAAGGAGTGATTAAAAGTGAAGGAAAATGGTGCTATTTATAGGTGTTTTGGAGGTGCTGTTGCGGATACCCGACCGGGTATATGGGATACCCGACCGGGTATCAGTGTATTTTCCCAGCAACTTTGTTTTTTACTTCATACCCAACCGGGTAAAGGCCATACCCGACCGGGTAAGTCACCAAATCACATTTTTTGCATGATTTCTTGTTCCCTTGCACTTTCCTTTGATCTTGTAAGATCCCTTCCATGATTCTTTATTGATTCTTGATTGATTCTTGCTCATGATGATTCTAAATTTACTAAATTACAACAAACTAGAAAAATAAAATGATTGCACCGTAAATGTGCAATTACCACAACAACACACTGTAAAAAATAATTAAAAGTAAAAATATAAACACTCAAAAATCAATGCAATCATAACTTTAATTGTAAGCTATGATGGTGTCTTGAAAGACGTTTAAGGATGTTTTATTTGGACTTATTTCAATCCCAGACCTGACTTAAATAGACCAGATCATACAAGATTTGACAGTTGTAAAATACATATAACCAGACATCTACAAAACCATAACGGCCACTTCAAACAAGATTTAAACAGATAAGACCATAACAGGTCGAAAAATTTCAATCTTACTAAAAACATTCTAATTGATTCTTTCTATTATTAAGGATGTAGCATGCATTTGCATCCAAAAATATGGAAATAAGTTACAATTGGATTCCTTCCTTTCCATAGCTCATAAGGAGTCATTTTGTGAACCTTGTGAATGATGCTCCTATTCTGAGTATAGCTGGAAATGTTGATGGCTTTACCCAGTATCTTAGAGGTAGTCTTGATTCTATGGTTCTGGCATCTTCCTTCAGAGTTCCGATTCTTCTTTCTGTAACATCATTATGTTGGGGATTTTGGCTGCATATAGTTGGTGTAGAGTTCCATTTTATTCACATAATTCTTTATTTGATAATCTGATTTACAAACTTTGTTCCTCTGTTAGATTTGAGCTCCTTTGCTTTTAGATTCTGCCCATTCTATAGTAGCTTGAGCAGACTTAGCAGCTTTTTTGAGAGTTTCATCATTCATCTTCTTCATGAAGATTGTCCTTGCAAATCTGGAGTAGTCATCAACCATGACTAGAGTATACTTCTTTACACTGATACTAGGTGTCACAATAGGTCTAAATAAATCCATATCAATCAAATTTAGACTTATAAAAAGATCTCCAATTAGTTTGCATTTTCCTTTAATTTGACTCTTGTCTTGTCCATCATACACAACTCTAGGTCCATTGAGTTTTTGGAAATCTGTTAGTCAACTCTTGTTATTTGTCACGTGTCTGGGGCATCCACTATCTAGAAATCATTCTTGATCAGAGATTGATGGTCCCTGGTAAAATTCTAGAGGGCGAAAAGGCGGGGGGCGTGAATAGACTTTTAAATCTTTTTTATTTAAGATCTTATTCCCTGTAACACCCCGGCCCCACCGGGATCTTTTTTATTTTACTTTTAAATCATTCTCTGATACCAATTTGTAACACCCCCATTTTCCCTCCCAAAATAGTACTTGAAATAATAGATTTATTGATAATAAAATTGATTTATTCTTTCAAAACAGATAAAAAGTTTTGCAGCGGAAATAATATTAAATGGGAAACGGGTGTTACCGCCACATCCGGTCATCTCCTAACCGAATGCACAGGCAACTAAATCAAAATAAAATAAAACAAATATTCGACATTATGAAAATGTTTATTCTTGACTAAGTTTTTCTAAGGCATCTCTAATCCGCTCTCAAGCGCATGCAATCAACAATCAACCTAGTCGTCATCACCTGCACAAGTAAAGTGCAGAAAACAAAACAAAGGAAAGGAAACAAAAATTAGCTTTAGAGCTAAGTAAGTACTACCCAACCCCGTAAAATAATCAAGTTTGGCGAAAATAGATTTTCATATAATACTATATAAAAATAACACACTCCACCAAAATTATTTTCTCTTTGATTTTTCTCAAAATCACTTCTTTACTAAAATCCACAAGTTTTCTTCAAAAATACTCCGTATTATAGTAACTCTTCTCTTTGAAATTCTCAAAATAAAATCTTCTTCTCTAACTTCCTAGTAATTTAGAAGGGCGGTGCTCAACCTTTCGATTGAGCCCGGTGGACCGTGGTTACGGACGGCCACCCCGAACAAGTGCCGGTACCACAACTGCTCTTGCGGAAACGAAACGACTACCTTAAGTGTGCACACCCCCTAAAAGGGATTCCAAGCCCTCCGAGTAGTAAGTCGTCACGAGTAATCGGGACTCAGTCTACCAACTACTCCACCTTTAAAATTCTTGAATGATTAGGGACTACTACTATAACTCTACTTCTTAAAAAGGGATCATTGATCCAATTATCACTGAAAACTTATTCTCACCCTTAGCAGTAGTAGCCCTTTTACGTCGGAACTACTGCTACTACCACAACTCTCCTTCTTAAAAGGGATCATCGATCCGAAAGTTACTCAAAAATCTCTTCTTAGTAGTAGCCGCTCTAATCACCCTCCACATTTATCCGGATGTGGAAAACCGACACCGCGGATTTCTCCCGCGGTGCTCACTTCTTATGAAAACGTAAATTTTATCTTGGCTTTAGATACACTTCTAAAAATATTTCTCAATCTCTCTAAATAATCTCAAAGGTATTTAAAAATATTTAATACCCCAAAAAGTACTCTTGATTTGTATTCATCAAAATCACATACACATAATTCAAAATTCACACATAATCACATAATGCATAATAAGCATATAATACGAGGAAACAATTTTGGATCGGCAGAGAAACTTACCGTAGGTCCTGACGCCCCTAGTTCTCCTCTTCTATTCTGGTCTCTAAGTATTCACCTTTTTAATTAAGATGATATAATTAGTCACTTATTCTATTTTTAATAACTTGTCCGATTATCACCTTTTATTTTATTATTCAAATTTATTAATATAATTAACTAATTAATTATTCAAACTTAGCTTATCCATTCATTAATCACTTTTATTAATCCATTACTTTGTTACTATCTGAATTCTGCCAATAATTTTTTAATCACTAATGACCATGTTATACTTTTCGAATTATATTTCAATTACATATCCAAATTTCACAATTTCTTTAGTTTATATTAATCAACATTAATTTACTCTTCTTATAATACATCCAAATAATTAATTATATATTATTAAGATATACGAATTATAAACATATAGATTATTACTAATATTTTAATACTTAATGACTATCTTAATTAAATTCGGTAATTAATTCAATAATCCTTTATCAATTTTAATCTAGTCCGATAATAAAAGCTATTAATTAACTAATCTCAGTTCGTCACAATTCCTTTAATATTATTAACACCTATAGTATTTACCCAATAATTATATAAAACAAAAATCCGAATATTATAACAATTATTTAAACTAACTAATCGTTATTAATGTATTCTGATTTTATTAATTACTCAAACACTTACTATTTCCGAGTCCGTAATTTAATTTTATTAACCTACTTCAATTAATCCAATAATTAGTGAAAATAACATCCATCCAATTTTATTTAAACTAATTATGGTACTACATTAAAATGACTTATTATTTTAATATAATATTAATTAATCAACAATTCTTTTCATCATTTATCATTATGTGATTATGATAACTAACAATTAACAAACTTATCTAAGTGATTACTATCAATCAAACAAGCCAATATCATTATTACTAATTCCATTCCAGATTTTATTAATAATTTTGCATATTATTATTATTATGATTATTATTATTATTATTACTTAGGAGGTTCGGCCCAAACTTAAACAACAGCCCAACAATGTTGTTTTTTTTTAAAGAAGAGACTCAAGAGAGTACTGTTCTTCTTCCTCGATGGAATGAGCTACGCAGGGCAGGGGGAAAGGGAGGTTACCTCGACGGATTCGTGATACGGTGGTGGTAAAAGACTCGTTTGGGGACGGCGAAGGTCAGTGATGGGTTGGCGGCAGCGGCAGCTCCTCCGTCTTCTCCGTTTTCCGTTTTTACGGTTAGCCCGGCGGAACTCCGGCAAGCCCGTTCTCCGTCGTTTCACGATCGTTTTCAATGATTCTTCTTCCGTTGGACTCCTCTCAAGCAGGGGAAGATCTCAGAGGTGTTTTAAGGGCTCGGTTATGGCTAAAACGACGGGTTGAAATTTGTGTACACATATATATATACTATTATATATATACGTATTCATGAATATATATATATATATGTTGATCGAGCTTTGCTCTGGGTGAAGGGAAGTGAAGGTTGAGGCTAGTATTTATACAGTTCTTAAGGCATACTTAGGGTTTCTTTTGAGCTCATCCGATCGGTTTTAAGCATTGGAGTTGTAAACGGATTGATATTTCTTGGTCTCACCCGATTGAATTGTACGCAGATTTAGTTTTGTTATTATGTTAATGTATCCTTTGCGTTATTAAGGTCCGATACATCGCAATTTCTCCGCATACTTCCTTCTTATGAAGTCTTGATATCATACGTTCCTTGGTTAATATACTTCGTATACTATTATTATTATTATTAATATATATTATTATATACGTATATATGTAGGTAACTTTGTAGTTATTTAGTTAACTCTTTTTACTGTAGCTTATTACTACGTATTACTACGTATAAAGTTACGTATTAATAGTATGTGTATATTATGGATCGGAGTATTATTTGTGTAATTTACACACATATTTTTCTAATAGTAATTGTCACTTTTATCTCATATGATTATCATAAAAAAATGTTACTTCTATTACCAGAAATGTTATCTAACTAAAAATGTCACAAAATATCATAACATTTTATCTGATCAACAAGATTATTTTATTTAAATTTTTGAGATGTCACATTCTACCCTTCTTAAAAGAATGCTTCGTCCCCGAAGCATAGGCTAAATTATTTATTTTCATTTTTTTTTCAAGGTGTCACAATCTGTCCTCCTTAAAAGAATGCTTCGTCCCCGAAGCTTAGACTAAGATCCAAATTTAACTGTATCAAATTACTAAGTGTTACATTCTACCCCACTTAAATAGGGTTACGTCCCTGTAACTAGAACATTACTATAATATTACCTCTTGATACCATTTGTGCACATCATCCTATCACGTCTCTCAAGTGGCGTTCTTGATTGAACGATTAACCTTTAAGGCATTTTTTTTTTTTCACCGGCCATCTTGGTCACATAACTTCTATTCTCGAGTCTCCTAAATACTAAGGCATTCGTAAGGTCTCTAATTAGCTACCTTAAGCATATATAAGTCCTTCACCAAATCCATAACCAAGTGCTAACACATATAAGCATTGAAAGATGCCATCATACCCCACACATTTCACATAAGCAAATAACCCCATGAATTTCCACAGTTCGATCATACTGATCAATTTCGTAAAAGTCTCACATCCTCACCACGTTCCTAAGAGGTCTTTTCCTAGTCATATTCTTTTCCTAGAAAAATTTGTTTTAAAAAAATTGTTTGGAAAACTTTTTGAAAAAAAATTGTGAAAAATCCCCAGAAAATAACCTTAGGCTCTGATACCAATTGTAACACCCCGGCCCCACCGGACCCGAGGTAGTTACTCCGGACCAATAGTACTGTCCCCACAAACCACCACGAGCCTTTACCGCGCACTTTGTCCTCACTCGTGCGCGCCCTGAGAAACTTCCCAGGGGGTCACCCATCCCAAGACTACTCCCGTGCAAGCACGCTTAACTTTGGAGTTCTTGGGTGATGAGCTCCCTTAAAAGGAGATGCACCTCTGTTGGTATGAGTAGTACTATTAATCCGTTTATATTAAATCTCAAGTGTTACATTCCCTCTTTGTGAGTTTGATCCTTAAACCTTTTGAGAGGTTTTAGAATCAGCAGCAGAAGACTTGACTTTCGATAGACTCACTGAGAAGTTTAACAAGACTATTTTTCTAGAAAATGAATGAAGAGAAATTAGTAGGCTGCCGAAAGTTGGTTTTGAGCGAGGGGGTTGTTTTTCTGGGAGTTAGTTAAGGCTTTGGTACGTATTTTGGCAGCTTAAAGAGATTGACACACTTATGTATCCTGGTTTGGAGGTGGTGTAATCCTCCTACATCCAGTCCCACCATATAGATGGATTTCCACTAAGCTATTAACCAATACACTTAGTGACCAGTTTAATTACCCTTGATCATAAGCATAAACTGTCAGGTTTTCACAAGGAGTACAACTCACTCCAAATTGCTTTTGCCTCTAGGTTTTTCACTAATGAACCAAACTGATTCAAGAGCTACTCATGTCCTAACCCCTAGGTTTTTCACTAATGAACCAAACTGATTCAAGAGCTACTCATGTCTTATTCTACCCACTCTTTGGATTTGTATCACAAATTCTTCCAAAGGTGTTTACAACTTCTTTCCAACTATTCTAAACTTTAGTATGAATATTCATTGTGAACTAGTCTAAAAGCATAAAGAAATGTGAACGAGCTAAGAATAAAGTGATGAATTAACACTTTATCTTTTGCAGGATATTCTGAATTTAATTGTCTTGATTGCACTAAGCTCGCTGAGTCTTTTTTGTCACAACCCTTGAGTATTTATAGACTTAAAGTTGTTGAATATCTCCCGTTGGTTGAGGAGATTCAATCTTGAATGTTGATGCATCCCCTTGATCTTTTATCTTCAGCATGCTCTTTTTTTTTCTTTACTTGGAGTAACCTAAGTCTCATTTTGTTCTGTTCTTAAGCTCATGCTTACACTTGTGTTGAGTAAGAGAGTATGAGTTGTCTTTGTTAGGTCCCCTAGATTTTGATGATTAGTGTAATAGTTTTGATGATGTCACCCCTTTTTTATCCCTGTATTAGACTAGTCTCTTGTTTATGTTCTAATTTGTTTATTTGTAATGTGCTCCATATTTAGATGTAAAGTACTCATAAAAAACAAAGAGTACTAAAAGAGAAGTAAATGTACCATAAAACAAAAAGAAAAAGATAAAAAAGAAAAGGTACGAAAAGAGTTAACTGGTATTCATGGTTAAGGAATGAGCTAGCTCAAAATTACCAGAAATCGGCAGTCAGTTGATTTTCTGGGAGCCAGCTGAAAACTTGATTTTTAGCTAAACTCATCTGAAATCCAATTCTTTCTTCTCTTAGCACAAAACACTTAGACAAAAGACCAACTTGCAGTCAAAATAACAATTTGATGAAAAGTAAATTTATAAGAGATTTTAATCACATTATAAATTGATTTTACTAAAAGCAAGTGTTCGTTATTTTGTAAGGAAGCATTGAAATATCACTAAGCTTTATACTAGTTTCTACGCATGAAAATAAAAATAAAATGACTTTTATCTTGCATTGAAATGTGTAAACAAGTTAAGCTGAAGATTGTTGATTCGTGTCACTACGTGACAGAGACAAGTCATGCTACCTTAGTCAAGTGGAACAAAGCAAGTAGATCAAGCTATGGTCAAGATTTATTTCATCAGCCAACGGTGGAGATGCAATGATCAAGTCTATAAATACAGAAGCAGTGTGGGATTACCAAGTGTGGTAAAACAAGAGGAGCCAAGTGGATAGAAAGAAATCATACTCTACACGAAGAAATCCGGCCAGCTGATTTCCCTTCTACACTTTGGCCGCCCCACTCGTCTAATGCTCTTAGACTAGCTATAATTCATAGGGAATTTTACTAGGATATGACTAAAACTCAATGAGTTTCTCAATCTATGACCTAACTAGTTTTTATACCTTTGTATGACCAAAAATCCAAAAAAAAAAAATAGAAAATTCGTTTATATTTAAATGATGAATGAAAAAAAATACCCTTATTTAAAATATGTGCATTTTGCACTAATTTCGTCCAATTAAAACTACTGCACTTTATATTGCCATTAATGCACAAAATTAATGCATCACTTTATTATTGCACATCCGGTAATAATCACTGCATTTCCCCTAAAATTAATTCTCTTCTTATTCAATTGAGGATTTTTTTAATTTAATAATTTTATCATTTTACGTTTAATTAAGTATATTGCATTTGATGATGATATCACTGTTTTGTGTTACTGCAATACTGGTCATAATCACTGCACAACAAAATTTGTTAATGCATTCGTTCACTGTCATGGACAACATGTCTATTACCATATATATTTACTGTCAATACTCCACACTTATTGAAATGTTCAGTGATGGTGTTCAATGCCCATACTTAATGCGCACAAACCCTAAATTCAATATAAAACCAAATCTTAAAAAAATGAGGGAGACGAATGGGCATTAACGAAGGTCAGTTGGAGTGCCTTTATGCTGCTGGATGGAACATGTGCCTTATCCATGTCAGAAACCCCTAAATTCAATAAATTCAAAAAAAGGAAGAAGGAAAATCCAGGTACTACGTGTTTTTAGTTTTAAACAAATACTGTGTTCGCAAAAAAGTTTTCAACACATACTTTGCAAACATCAAATCAATTAATAATTTTATATTGAAAAAAATTACTATCAGTACAAGTCCTCCCAGATTATTTATTCGCAAAATTACTCACAAGCTGCAAGCCAAAAATTAATGAAGACCGTGGAACTCCAGTCCATGTTCGCAAATTACTTTGTCCGTGTGTCAGGCATCAACCCTAACAACAAAGAAGTGGCGTCCATCTCTCCTTCATAAGTCCTGGATCCCTTCATTCGGATTTCACTACCAATCATCTATTCGGGAGCCTCTATTTCGCACTGCCGAAGTTACTCTTGTCGGACGATTCTAGATCTCCAGTGTGAAAGGTGGTGGCGGGCAGCTGAGCGGCGATGGCAGGCGGTTGGATTGCAAGCGGCGGCGAGGCTGGACTTTTGTACGCAATTTGGACGTAGGAGGGCGATGGGTAGGCTACGATTAGGGATGGAAATAAGGAATTGGATATTAGGGTTTTATAATAATAACAAAAGGGCATATTAGTCCACAGAATTTATTTATTTAATTACTTATTAATAGTTTAATTAACTGTGACGATTTTTAGTTTTATTTTGAGAAAAAACTCATTAGGTTATAGATTGAGAAAGTGATGGAGTTTTAGTCACACCTAGGATAATTATCTCTAATTAATAAAAATCCATAGAGCTTAGATTAGTTGGTAGTTTAGCAATACACCCATGTATTCTAGACTAGTGTTAGACATTCTGGATGGCTTTGTGTTCAAGTCCAGAAGGTGAGAAAGGGAAATGACATGAGTAGCTCTTGGCGAGTCAATGCCATTAGTGAAAAA